AAGGGAATAATACAATATAATTTGAATACTCTTATTTTTTTTAACTTATTTCTTTTTTAAGTTCTAAGATTACATTTCTCTTTCTAATAGTGGCTCCATGTTCCCCTTCTTGTCCCTTAAAAAGTCTATTAATTTACTTTTTCTCTTTCTGAACTTCTAAATGACCTTTTCTTCCTTCTTGAATCTGAACACAGGAGTTTGGCTGTCCTAGGCGGACATGCTCCTCCTCTGCCATCTGCACTGTGATCCCACTGACTGTTCTGAGGATGGAGGTTTACAAAGAGCCGACCATCCCAGCAGATGGGTACCTACCATACCTACCCTGGGTAGGTATTCCCAGGTCTTAGAATCGGACCTGCCCCGAGGCTATCATAGCCAGTCTGACAGTCACTGGCTGCCCCTTATTAAACACAAAGATCAGTGCGCTCACTAACACCATCACCTTATTACCCTGTGGTGATAAACTAATTCACCATGTAAACATTTAAACACTTGCAACTTTGTGACAGAAAATACACTGAAACAATCTTGTAACACTTTACTCATTTCTTCTTTTTTTTCTTTTTCTTTTCCTTTTTGTTTTGTTTTGTTTTGTTTTTCGAGACAGGGTTTCTCTGTGTAGCTTTAGAGCCTATCCTGGCACTCGCTCTGGAGACCAGACTGGCCTCGAACTCACAGAGATCCACCTGCCTCTGCCTCCCAAGAGCTGGGATTAAAGGCATGTGCGCTGGGCTAAGACGCCTCAATCACCCCAAAAGGAAACCCTGTTCCCACTCATCGCTCAGTCTCCACCCCTCCTCTGCACCAAACACCACCCTTTTTTTCTGTTTTTATGTATTCTAGTAAAACCAATCAAGGCTCATCCTTCAAGGCTCACTCCAGCTTTAGGGAGGGCCAGGCTCCCTCGCACTTTATGGCTCAGTGACATCATACTATGTGCATAGTGGCTAAAACAACCCCGCCCGACAGGATGCCGTCTCCTAGGAGACAATAGGATAACCGGTACAGAAACTGTGGATCGGCAGTGCCGTCCCTGGGATAAAGTCCAGACTGACTGACTGAAAAGAAGAAAGTGAGCTGGGCACCAGGACCCCTCTTCCTGACTGAGACTGCCACGTGACCAGCAGCCTCGTGTTCCCTGCCACGTGACCAGCAGCCTCCAGTTCCCTGTCACGTGACTAGATGCCTCCAGTACCCTGCCACGTGACCACCTGCCTCGTGTTGCTAGTGGAACCCAAGTTGTATCTTATTGTATTTCCAGTTTGCATTTCCCTAATGGGGGTGACAACGGGCATGTTTTCATGGTAAGAATTACTGATTTTCTCTAGGGAAAATCATTATGTAGACCAGGAGGGTGTGTCTATTATTTAGGAAGATTTATGTATATATGTGTAAAAACCGGGAAAAGGAGGTCATGGATTTGAAAGGGAGTGGGGCAGTTCTTGGTTGGTACATGGGAAAGTTTGGAGGAAAAAGAGAGGGGGAATGATGTAATCCCATCATAATCTCAAGAACTGTACGAAGTTTTAAAAAATGCACGTAAGCGTTCTCACTGCTTTGGCAAACAGAACTCTTGCTGTGCATCGGAACAGATCAAGGAACTGGAGAACAAAGGAAGCGCAACTCTGCACAGGAACTTCTGGGTCCAGAATGGCGTGTCTTGAAATGGTAGCCCTCCCCCTTCCAAAATCCTCTTACACTCCTGTCGCCAAGGACAGTCCCACTGTCCGCGGGCATCTCTCAGCACAGCTGGTGTCAAGGACAGGAGCTGTCCATCCTTCCCAGTGTCACCCCCCAGAGTGGACTTAGCAAAGGCTCTGAAACATTCAAGGTTCTATCCTTTACTCCTCTATCAGGTCTCAGGAGATGACCACCCCCAATGCTAGCTCGGACCCTACACGCCTGCAGTCGCTTCTTCTAATGACACTCTCCTCACGGCAGCACGCGCCCCAGCTTCACTTGTCTCCTTGGCTATAATCAGGTACCTTGCACTTGAGACTTTTTTTTAAAATGTCCAACTCATACCTGTTAATACTGACATTTTAATTGGTGGTCAAGATCCCCACAGAAGCAGAGTCTGAGACAGAACTTGACTAGATGGCTCAGCAGGTAAAAATGTTTACCTCCAAGCCTGGCGACTTTGAGTTTGATCTCTGTGAACCACAGATGAGAATGTGACTCTTGAGCGTTGTCCTGACTTCCGTAAGTGCTGTTCTAGGTACATACAGACAGGGATCACACACACACACACACACACACACACACACACACACTGAAGTATATCATTAGATCCACACACAACACACAGCCTGGGAAGGAAAGGACTCCTCATGCATGGTCAGGACATCCAAGAACACAACCATGGGAGTCAAGTCTCTTTTCAAGAGCACCCCTAACCCCCGTGTCTGTAGCTCTGAGAAGAACACAGCTTCAAACCACTATGTAAGAAGCCCTCCTTGACCTGGTCTTTGTTTTGTCCTCTGATTGCTCCACTTGTAGCCAGGAGCAAGCACACCAGTGTTCCCTTGGCCCTGGGTTCACCCCCAGGGACTCCACAGCTTCTTGTTGAGGCACACCTTACCATGTAGTGTCAATGAGTGACCTTTCCTCACCCTTCAGCACAAAGGAAACCTCCACAAGTTCTCACTGAGTGTTGAGTGCCCTCTTTACCACACCCATCCCAAATACAGCCTCTGTTTCAGCTCAGTGATTGGCTATTGTTCCAGGAGAACTCAGTCACTGTGGGAGTACCAGCTGTTTGACAGGAACTCGCTTGTGATTCCTGACACACAGTGGGTGCTCAGTTAGAAGTTACAGGATGAAAGAATTGCTGAGGTGCTGCTAATCAGTGTAGTTGTAGGAAAAATACAGAGATACCTATCTCATTCCAACCCTCTCATTCCAACCTACCTCATTCAACATTCTAACCCTCTACCTACCTCATTCAACACCCCAACCTATTAGTGTGTGTGTGTGTGTGTGTGTGTGTGTGTGTGTGTGTTTGAGGGAGAGGGTAGGGGTGTCTCTCGCTATACTTTAGCTTCAGTTAATAGTATCTTTTGGGCAATTAATATTAATTTACAAGCAGTAAGATATGGAAAATGGCCTCATGGCAAGATAGTCATGTGGTTCTTTTTAAAAAATTCTTCCATGCTTAGGCTACATGTATACAGAACGAAGTTACCCAGTGTTCTAAACCACCTGCATAGACTTCTACATTGGAGGTGATGCTCGGAGTTGAACATGCGTCTCTCTACCTACAACCAAGTATTTCCTTTATCCATGTCTGTCACATGATCCTATTTTCATGTCTAACCCTGACATGACAAACAACCAGGATTCCAATCTCTGCTAAATGGTCTGTTCTTTTCTTTACTGGATACAGAATTGTTGTTTTGGCGAGAATTAGTTGAGCACAGTTAGTACAATAACACTCAGTGCCTTCCTGCGTGGCACCTGCTGTATGCTATTTATTTCTTGTTAGCAGCATAGTACAACAAATTGTGTCTTTTAACAGCTCATTGAGTAGAGGAGGAAGAAGCCTCGGCAATGGAAGTGTTGATAATGCTCAATGGTGTTGATACAGTTATTTCTAAACAATCCAGCTTACAAATTCACATGCAAACCATTTGTTTCTTTGGAAAATCTCTCCACCACATAATTCTCAATGACCTTGAGCAGATAGCAGCTTGAGCAGAAAAATAAATAATAAATAACAGCAGCGACCCATGGTTTTAAACTGTTAGTGAAGGTGACTTGGATTGAATTAATGTGGGAGATGAGAATGAACGAATGTTTCTTTTGTAAGTGCTTAAAAATGTGAAGACAGCCTGTTGTTAAGTTCTTATACATCACCAAGGGATCTTCAGATTTGACAATATGGTTAATTCATACCTTTCAAAAGGAAAAATCTATAGCAGGAACATCCCGGGGTACTTCACATGTCCTCAGAACACCCAGAACAGCACCGTTCTTCACAAACGTTTCCTGCCTCTGTGTGTGCATGATCTGCAGTTTGCTATCTTACCCATGCGTTCAGTTTCACTCATTGACAAGATTCAACAAACGTTGCTTTAAGAAAACACAGGGCAATGCCTACTGATATTTCTCATCTATATATTTCGTTTTTATTATGCTGGGGACTCTAACTGAACTTTGTTCCAAGCTATTAACCTATGGCAGAAGCCTGTGGATATCAGATCTCACTGACATACAGAACAAAGAGGAAGAAAGGGCATGAGAATTACCAAGACAAGGTTGGCTTTACAGTTTTGAGGTGGGAAAATCAAATCCCTGACTAATAGGCCTGGCTGGCACAGGAGGGTGAGGGTGGGAGAGGGGTGGCCACTCTCGGGCTGAAGCCACTGAAAGGCTCTCTGAGAACCCACAAAGGAAGCACACACCCAAGTCCACACTGCAAAGCAAATTAAAGTATGCCGTTAACCGCCACATGCTGAAAATGAGGTTCGACATAAGACACAAATTATCTGAGAAGCCATTTTGTTTGTTTGAGGAAAAGCTAAAATCTTTGGCCTTATACTTTATAGATTATTCAGTCTTCCCAACTTTGGGGAACTCGGCTACCTCCAGTGATAATTTTTCTCAGTATCATTATCATAGTTATCACTTGAGCTGAAAAGAACAACTCACAGAGGCATTGTGATGGCAGCTAACTTATGCACACAGTGGTGCAGGGAGCTGTCATAGGAACCACGGGAAAAGGTGATCTTCTGTGTCAAGGCCACAGTGGGACTGGGGATTTGACCAGTATTTCTGGAAACAAGGTAAGGAGTATGTGTAAGAGGCAGTGAGGTAAGTCTTCTTCCTGCCAAGCAGTCCCAGTGTTTCCCTGTCACCAGCATGCATCAACTTGTAAGATAGGATATCATCTAGGAGGGGCTGAGGAGATGGCTTGGTTGCTAAAGCACCAACTGCACAAGCATCAAGACCTAAAGTCAGACCCAGAAGACATGGAAAAAGCCAGGCATTGTGGCATGTGTCCATTGCCCCAGTGCTGGGGACTTAGTCTAGACAGAGCTTTGAAGTTGGCTTCAGGGAAAGACCCTCCCTCCAAAAACAAAATACAGGAGTTCAGGATGAGTGAGGGAGACACATGACAAAGAACTCTAGCACATGCTATCAAGTATACACTACACAAACAGACCACACACACACATGCACACACACAACCCCCATACACATACCCCTCCATACCTGCACACACACACTTGTGCGTGCATAGCCCTCCACACATATGAACACACATACCCAAACATGCACACACACAGACATACACACACACTCACACTCTCTCACACACGAAACTCATGCACAATTACAGGAAACACAAACACTTTAAAAACTCATTAGACAAAGCATCGGAGGTGGGAAGGTGGAAGGAAGTTCTGCGTCTCATCTGGAGCTTTATTTGAAAGAACTGATGTATCCACATGTATCCTATTAGTAAACATTATAAATTGTTACCTCTATTAGCGGTTGGCACCTGTTGGTACACACACTGCAAGAGTCATTAGACAGATGTTAACAGGAGAGTTAAAACCTCTCCTTGTTGAAAGTAACTGATAGAGAGGATTTCCACAAAAAAAAAAAACAGTGTGCTGTGCAATTCAAATGATTATTCTTTTTAAGAGAAAGAAACATCACCTACATGTCTTATTGATCCAAAAAAAAAAGTCATTTTTCCACAGGAGAGGAGACTTTGAAAATCTATAGATAACTTCTGGGAAACCAGATGCATTCAGAGAATAGGCCACTCAAGCCTGGGGTAGACCAAGAACCTAGGGTAGGCCATGTGAGCCTGAGCTACATCATACAGACCTTACACTATGCACATTTAGTTTAAGAAACCTCCCAAATCCCAAAACAATGATTTCTGAAGAAGAGAGGAAATAACTTACAGACATACAGAGTGATTGGAAATGCCATTGACACCACTTTTGACTTATTGCAAACAATTCTTTCCTCACCGTTCATGGTGGAACTGTAGGATGCCACCAATAGAAACAAGGAAGGAGCCCTGTGAGTCACTCTGGAGACAGCAGAGAAGCAGAACCCTCAATATATCTCTCCCGAGGTTTACCACAAATGACCTCAGGGAAGCTGGAGTGTTGTTATGTCTCAAAGACAGTCACATGCCCCAACCCAGCAGTGAAGTTTGATATTCCCTTCACTCTTCTGAGGCAGCTCTACAACCGGGCAATGGTCACTTGTGAGTAAAAGCACAGATGTCCCTGCATTCCCTCCACTGTGTAGTCTTCTGCTGGACTGTGATGACCCTCAGAGCATCACAGAAGAAGAGTCTCTGGATGGCAACTAAGCAAAGAGACAATACATCACTCACTGAAGGATGAGACCATTATCTCCCTCCGCCAGCACCAGCTATGTTGTAGGTAGCTGATAAGTGCATACCAGTGTCTAACAGAGACGAACTTGTCTCCAAAGTACATCTGCTTAGGGGAGGGATGCATTAGACACCAGAGCTCTAACCAAACTCTTTAAAAAAAATAAAAAACAAGGAAATGATTTAAATCTATTTCATTTTTCAGAACATTTATGGGGAACTCTGCCAAATTTGTAAATCAATAATGAAAGCATTTGTTAAACAGAACACAGCTGCTCCTCGCTGTACATGTATGTGTGTGTTGGACATTGATTTACACATAAAGAATCATATCTAAGACCATCCTTCAAGCCAATGACCCAGTTGTCATTGTTACTGTATTTGGAGTGTCTGGATTCAAGGGGATTTTCTGAAGAGAAAGGAATTCAGCCTTTCTCAGACAAAATGTACAGAAAGAATTCTTAGTGTCATCATGAACAATTCAAGAATTACTTCCCTCCCCCTCCTTTTTACAAATTAGGAATTCTGTTTCATTCTTTTGCCCTCATCCTTGAGAATGCCTTCACTTAGTAGCAGAAGAGATGGGGTGGCTGTACTATTGCTTATTTCTTAATCTCGAGATGTGTTAAATAAAAACATGTGGCAAACTTTCTTCCTTAGGGTAGCGAGAGACATCTTTCAGATAAGACACACATAAAATGTATATGCTATAATGGATAAGTTGGATTCTTTTTAAATCTATAACTATTGTATTTCAAAAGACAAATGTTAAAAACTAAAAAGGCAAGCCAAAGGACGCAGGCATGACTTCTATGGGATATGACAAAGGAAAGTACATCCTGAAAAAAAAATCACTGAGTTCACAGGGCTCAACAATTAACCAACAACCTAAGAGAAACATTATATTTAGTGCATGCCAATCATATCACCATTTCTCTGTAATTGTCCAAGAAGACAAAACATATGTCTAAGGACGTGCATAAGAAGGTTCACAGGTCTTTATTTAGAATAAAAAAAAATGGATGTAAAGTCAGTAATCACAAGCAAACAGACCATAAAAAAGAGATATATCACCCTATGATATTCACCATACAGTAAAAATGAATAATCTGAAAAGTATAGTAATGAGCTGAACTTTACAATAATTACGTGGGTAAAAGGTAACAGGTACACCAGAAATCCTAGGATAGAAAACTCTAGAGTAGGCAAACTGGACTTGAAAAAGTGATCACCTGGGGCCAGAAGGGAGGGTGACATAGACCAGGAAGGGGCATGAGAATGCTCCAGGAAGACATAAATGTTAAAGACAGGAAGGCGAGTTATGGTGGTCACAGACACTTATCAAATCACAGAAAACTGTGTACTGCCAATAGGCACAACTCATTGTTAGAAATGAGTTTTCAATAGAATTGATTTTAAAACAAGAAAACTGACTGCGTTTGACATCTCATGTCTATAATCTCAACAACTGGTAGGCAGAGGCAGAAGGATTGCACTAACTTAGGCGACAGCCAGGTCCAGCTTCAGAAAAACCAAGAGAATGCCTTGCTCAATAAAACACATGGGCTCGCCGGGTGTTGGTGGTGCCCGCCTTTAATCCCAGCACTCGGGAGGCAGAGACAGGTAGATCGCTGTGAGTTCGAGGCCAACCTGGTCTCCAGAGTGAGTGCCAGGATGGCCTCCAAAGCTACCCAGAGAAACCCTGTCTCAAAAAACAAAACAAACAAGCAAACAAACAAACAAAAACATGGGCTCTGGGTAATGCCAACTGCCTACTATTCACTGAGAAGATAAAAGTGTACAGAGCTTCTACGGCAACCGGCTGACGCCGAGTGAGACTCGATACAGGTGATGTGAGTCTACTAAAAAAACAGTAACAAAAGAGCAAAGACGGGCTTAAGATACAGGAAAAACACATTAAAATCCAAAGACCAGAACAGAGTCAAAACGATTAAGCATCCTAAGATGATATCTTAGGATCTGTTGTGGGCCATGTATAAAACAAATTTAAAATAACAAAGTTTACTGAGAAATATGGACGAATGTCACAACAAATTCAATAGTTTGTAAGCCAAACAAGATGTTGATAAGAAATTACTCTAGTGATAAATATGAGATAAACTCTGACATTAGTGGAAACTTATACAAAACCAGATGTCCCCCAAATTCTACACAGTTTAACTTAGCTAGGAATATCCAAAGGATTTATTTAAAATTAGCAATCCTGAGCCAGAAAGACTGCTCAAGGTGAAGACTC